ATGTTTTTGAAAACTACAATTTAAAATTCAAGTATTTAAGATCGATTAAAAACAATTTTTGAGAAAATAAAATGTCAATTTTAGATATTATGTTGTAAATTGAAAAATATCATATTTGAATTATATTTACACTTATTAATACTAATAAAATGATATATATATATATATACCTCAAGTAAAAAATATTTAAATTTCTATCATTAATAAAAATAATTAATAAATAATTATATATGAATGTGTATTAATTTAAAAACCAATTAACATTAAATAGTTGAAGATAAAAATATAATTACACTCCAAAAGTGATTTTTTAGGCAAAAAGCTATAAATTTAAGCTTTTAAGGTTGAGTTGAAACTAATTTTTCCAATCATGATTTTAAACTAATTTTTGGGTGTTTAGCAATACTTATCAGTAGAAACCCAATTTTCTATTACCGTAAACATTCCTAAACTGACCCTCAATCTTTTAAAAAAATAAAGAATTTAAGAAATTATTATTATTCAATAATATTAAAATATTTATTAAATAACAAACATTATAAAAATAAGTCAAATTAAAAATAAAAGTAAAAATATTTATAAAAATATTAAAAATTTTGAGTCAGATCGAGTTTTTTAAGCTATGGTCAGGTTGAGTCATATTTTAGTTTAATATGAAAAAGTTGACCGGTATAACATTTAATTGACTTTATATATTTAAAGATAATTATAATAATATCATTTTATTTTTTCAATTAGGTCCTTCATTTACCTAATAAAAATAAATTATATATATATATATCGAATTGGATGCAAGTATTAATTTGAAATATCAAATCAAATTTCAAATCAAATTGAGATCCTCCTAAACTGAGTTATATTGGATACGAGAGAAGGACTTCAATTTTTAAATTGAATTTAGGCGGATTAAAAATTTGATCTGACCTAACATTATTAAATAAATTATTTTATTATTTTTATTATGTCATAAAGAGATAGTCATTACCCTTAAAGGCCTCTGGTTTGAGCATATCGTATGTCGGGATGTTTGAACATTAATTATCAAATATGTTGAGAGTCTTTTGAATATATAATCTGTTTGTTTGGTTGTAATTGGTTTTCTGGAAATTGAATTCTGGAAAATAAATTACTGAAATTTGAATTATGGAAAATGAATTACATTTCTAGAAAACGTTTCCGGAAATATTTTCCGTAAAATAAATTACATTTTTTAAAAAACATCTGGAAAACATTTTACGATGTTTGGAAGATGTTGCTTAAACCTTTTTTTCCATAGTTGATGATTTTTTAAAAATTATTTATTATAAATATTAAATACAAAATATTATTTATCATAAAACTTAATATTATTATTTTTAAAATATTAAAATAATTTATTTAGTATTAAATATTATTTTTATAATTTTATTAATAAAAATATTAATATTTTTATATTTTATTGAAATAAAAATATTATAAATTATATTAATTATTTATTAAAGTAATAGTGTTATATTATATTTTAAAAATATTAATTAGTATATTTTAAATGTATTTATTAAAATATTATTAGATTATTATATTAATATTAAATATATAAATAATATTATTCATTATTAATAATTTAAAAATATTATTTCTATGAAATTAATAAATAATATAAATTTTATTAATAATTTATTATATATTATTAAAATAAAAATATAATATTTTATATTATTATAATATAATTGATTATTTTATTATAATATTAAAAATATAATATTATATTATTAGAAATATTAATAAATATATGTTAAATATTTTAATAATTAATATTTTGATTAAAATTATATTAAATATTTTGAGTATTTATTATTTGAAGTGAAAAGTTCGGAAAATGACTTACGAAAAATCAGACCGTAAGTCATTTTCCATAAAACACAAAGGAAATTCTGTTAATCAGGAAAATATTTTACGTTGACCAACCAATTTTCCTTCAACCAAACACAGGAAAACATTTTCCGAAATACGAATTACGTGAAACAAACACGGGATTTCGGAGAAAATCAATTCTGTAATTCATTTTACGGCAAACAAACAGACCCATATATTAACTTATTTGTATAATGAAAGAATAATTATTTGTATAATTTGTTTGATATGATATTTTAATAACATATCGGAAAAGTAGAGAAAAACTAATGTAGCTTAAAACTGTTACGTTACATTTTGATTAATTTAATATATATATATATTAAATAAATGATTATATGAAATATTGTATATATATATATTTTATATTGATATATATATATATATATATATATATATATTACATATATGTACTCAAATTCAACATTAGGATGATAATATGTCAGACTGAATCGAGTTTTAATCAATCCGAACCGATCAAAAAAATATATTCTTTACCCGAACTCAACTCGACCCAAAAATATATATTCTTCACCTAGTCTGACTTAACTCGAAAAATATATACCTTCTACCCTACTCTGACACAACTTAAATTTTTAGAGTATAAATTCAATTTAATCTGACTTAATCCGATATAAAATAAAGATTAATTAAAAAACATTATATAGAGGGTATTATAGTAATTATCTATAAATCTATTTGAAAAAAATTATATTATTACTCCCGGGTTAGGTTGAGTCAATTTTTCTCACCCTTCATTTGAACCTGACCGACTTCACTCCTTTAAAAATTCAACATGACCCGACTTGAATTTTTTTATAAAAATCTGATCCTATTAAACCGAATCGAGTCGAAATTCATCGATTTCAAGTTTAAAACATCAAGTGAAAAATAATATTTAAACTGACAAAATTGAAATAAATAATCATTCTGCCTTTTCATAACAGTGTTGGTTCGGTATTAGCACACTATAAAAGAAAACATTTCAATTAGCGTACGTTTCCTTTTTTTTTTCCCGGCTTTTAGAACTCGATTTGATGAACCTCGTCATGACGTGGAAATAAATAAATCACCGAAAGGTCCACAACATTAAATATAGGTCCACAACCTACTTGATTATGTTTCCCCAAAGAGAGTGATATCAAAGTCCACATCTGCGCGTGGGTCACCTGGACTTGCGTCCTTACCGACTCTTTCCTTTTCCGATACTAACCCATTTTAGCAACGTGTCTCTCTCTACAAGGAACCCCGACCAATCGAATTAATATAGTGAAACCGAAACTTGATACAAACGGTAGCGATTTTCTTTGATTATTATGTAGTAAACTACTTGCTTTGTCAATCTATCTTCGTTTTATCATTCAACTATTTTCTAAAAGAATCATTAATATTATATTTTAATTATTCATCTTTAAATAGTTGATATAATCTTTTTTAATAATAATATAATAGCATCTTATAATTCTTTAATCACTTAAGTCGTTTGATTAATACTATTATTTAGATATATTTTGCTTAAAAGTTATATAAAGTATGAAAAATTAAAAATATTTATTATTTGTTTATATGTATTGGTTTTATGTGGAGTAATAACGTTTTGTAGATATCTTTTCTTTTTTGAATAGAGAAAGCCGGTTATTATTAAGGAAAACATGAAAGCAAAAGAAATGCCAAACAGCTGTTATTACTCCATATTGATATGAAGATCCTGTTCCAACCTTCTAACACAATCATTTCATTAAGAGACTCTTCGCACGACAAACACTCCACCAAATATATGAGGGGACGAACCAATTCTTAAGCTTAAAAAATCCCCATCATGATAATACTTTGATCGAAACAATCGCCCTACAAATGATGAAGGTAGATCATCATAAAAAAGAAGAAAACAAAGCTGTATAAGCATAACTCATTTACCCAAAGTTGAACCAAGGTAGATAATCACTTCCGTGATACTATAGACATATGTTTACAAGGGTGATAAAAGCGAGAGAGAACTGGTCCTCGAAGTTATTCAGATCGTAATCCATCATTGTTTCTTCTGCAACGCCTTCGTCGCCGTCTTCTTGTTATGGTAGACAGTCCTCCACAATTACCTTGTATCGGTCTCTGCATCTACATATTTTTTTTTAAAAAGTACTTTTCATTCCGAGTGAATGGACAAAAAAACAAACCACCAAACTTACCGTAAAGTGGTTGGTATAATGGAGATGTCATAGCATGTTTAGTCATTTTTCATAAATATTTACAGCATTGGTATAATAAGCAGCATGGAAGATATAGTCATTTTCCCCTAATTTAACATTTTTGAACATATGACTCTTGGAGTGGTTCAGATGGTTAAGGAAATTTTATTCTCCCTTAGTGATTCGAACTCGAGCAATGTATGTACGGGTGCATGAGTTTAGATCTATGTTTTTTTTTAAAAAAAATTATAAACATATTTTAGCCCCGATCATTAGTAGTGAGTATCCGATCGAGTCCATTCGAGTAAAAAATTTAGTCGAGTTGACGAGTGTTATTTTACAATTCAAGTTTTATTTGAAAATTCTTCCAATCGAGTCAAAGTGTTTTGAGTTTCTGTTTAAATTTAATTGTAAATATTTATAATGTTATATACTAGTTGATTCTAATTTAACTTACTTTATATAATCATATATGATATACACATATTTTTTCAGTCTTTCATATGTGATATATATATATATATATACAGAATTGAGGGCTCGATTTAAACATAAAAATCAATTTACTAATTACTAAAAAATTCAACTTATTCGAATTTTATTTTATAACATAAAATCTTTATTTGAAGTTTTTTCAAGACTGATTTAAACTTATAAAATTATAAGTCGAATTGAGTGAAAAATAATTATTTTTAATTAAGCCGAGTTTTACTAACTCATATGGACTAATCATAGCATTGCCGCATATCACGTCTCTGACTAGAATCAGGGGATCGTGGTTTCGATTGAGGACCACAGTGGTCGTTGTTGTTTTTGTTTGGTTTTTAGTCCAACCCAACAGGTCGAATATGGGGCTTTGAGTTTGGGCTTAATTTCAAATCTTGTCTGCAACGTAATCATCTCCTGGGAATCAGATCTGATCCTTAGTTAGGGTTTTCGAGATCTGTAACTCTGCAAGCTCTTTAATCTTAGTTTTGCTTTTCCAATCTGTTTAACTGTTAAAATTCTTAACGAAACGCTCTGTCCGAAGGCTAGTTCCATTTATTGAGAGAGGGAAAAAATGGCTTCAGCGGGGCAGCCACCGTCACTCAAAAGAAGAGATGCGCCATCGATGAGAGAAGGAGATCAGCTTACTCTTACTCCTTTAGGCGCCGGCAATGAAGTCGGTCGTTCTTGTGTTTACATGACGTACAAAAGCAAAACTGTACTGGTATGCTTGCTAATTAATCCTTTTGTTCGCATATTTTGTTCTATTTTACTTCTGAAATTTGTTTATAATCTTAATCGTTCTTGTTTCTCATTTTAAATGATAGTTTGATTGTGGAATTCATCCTGCTTACTCGGGTATGGCTGCTTTGCCTTATTTTGATGAGATTGATCCTTCAACAATAGATGTTCTTCTTATCACCCAGTATGGCTTTCTCCCTTTATTTTGTGTTCATTTATGGTTCAAATTTGGTGCTTGGTACAGTTTAACTGTTATACGTTTCATTTGCTTTTTCCATTTGTTCAGCTTTCACTTGGACCATGCTGCTTCCCTTCCATATTTTCTAGAGAAGGTTTGTTTCTTTGGGAGTAAAGTCATTGTATAAGTTGTAATTACCTGGTCATGTTTAAGAACTAATGTGTTCTTATTTTCGATCAGACCACATTCAGAGGTAGAGTTTTTATGACTCATGCAACGAAAGCTGTTTATAAGCTTCTTCTGACTGATTATGTTAAAGTGAGCAAAGTTTCTGTTGAAGACATGTTATTCGATGAACAGGACATTAACCGCTCCATGGATAAAATTGAGGTATATATTCTTGGTTTTCCGTTTCCTGTTTGGGGTTTTTAGATTTGCATTGAAGTCATTTCGAATTATCTGATTGAAAACCTGCAGGTTATTGATTTTCATCAAACTGTGGAAGTAAATGGCATTAAGTTCTGGTGCTATACTGCTGGGCATGTTCTCGGTGCTGCTATGTTTATGGTTGACATTGCCGGTGTACGAGTGCTCTACACTGGAGACTATTCTCGTGAAGAAGATCGTCATCTCCGTGCTGCTGAGCTGCCACAGTTCTCTCCTGATATATGTGTAATTGAAGCCACTTATGGTGTCCAGCTTCATCAACCCCGACACATTCGGGAGAAGCGATTTACTGATGTTATCCATTCTACGATTTCTCAAGGGGGTCGTGTTCTAATCCCAGCGTTTGCCCTTGGTCGTGCCCAGGAACTTCTGTTGATTCTTGATGAGTATTGGTCAACCCACCCTGAGCTTCATAATGTTCCGATATATTATGCTTCCCCACTTGCAAAAAGTGCATGGCTGTTTATCAGACATACATACTGTCCATGAATGAGAGAATTCGAAACCAGTTTGCAAACTCAAACCCCTTCAAGTTCAAGCACATTTCTCCGTTAAATAGCATCGAGGAATTTAGTGATGTAGGTCCATCTGTTGTAATGGCAAGTCCAGGTGGTCTTCAGAGTGGGCTGTCACGCCAACTCTTTGACAAGTGGTGTTCCGATAAGAAAAATGCATGTGTTATACCTGGTTATGTTGTCGAAGGGACGCCTGCAAAAACGATTATTAATGAACCGAAGGAAGTGACACTCATGAATGGTCTCAATGCTCCCTTACACATGCAGGTTCATTACATTTCGTTCTCTGCCCATGCAGACTATGCTCAGACAAGTACATTCTTAAAGGAGCTTATGCCTCCTAATATAATTCTTGTTCATGGAGAAGCAAATGAGATGGGAAGACTCAAACAAAAGCTTATCACCGAGTTTACCGATGGCAACACCAAAATTATTACCCCGAAGAATTGTCAGTCTGTTGAGATGTATTTTAGCTCCGAGAAAATGGCTAAGACCATTGGAAGACTGGCTGAAAAGACCCCAGAAGTAGGTGAAACTGTTAGTGGTGTTCTGGTTAAGAAAGGTTTCACATACCAGATAATGGCTCCCGATGATCTCCATATCTTCTCACAGCTTTCAACCGCAAACATCACTCAGAGGATTACTATCCCTTTCACCGGTGCACTTGGTGTGATAAAGCATCGTCTTGAGCAGATATATGAGAGTGTGGAATCTTCAACAGATGAAGAATCTGGGGTTCCAATGTTGCGAGTGCACGATAGAGTGACCGTGAAGCAGGATTCAGATAAGCACATCTCATTGCATTGGACATCAGATCCCATAAGTGACATGGTATCAGATTCTGTTATGGCATTGGTTCTGAACATTACTCGGGAGATCCCTAAGATAGTAGTTGAGTTTGAGGACGTAAAAATGGAAGAAGAAAACGGGAAGAAGGCAGAAAAGGTTATTCATGCTCTCCTGGTTTCACTCTTTGGGGATGTCAAATTAGGAGAAAACGGGAAGCTTTTGATAACTGTTGATGGGAATGTAGCTCATCTTGATAAACAGAGCGGGGATGTCGAGAGCGAAAACGAAGGTCTGAAGGAGAGAGTAAAGACAGCTTTTCGACGAATTCAAAATGCAGTAAAACCAATCCCTCTCTCAGCATCATAGTTTTACCTCCGGTATCTTCTGTTTTACATCTTTTAATGTACTTTGAGTATAAATTTTGGATTCTCAAAATTGCATATGTAAGTTGTTTTCCATGCTTATTACCAAACACTAATTCCAAGTTTGTACTGCTTAGCACGGTAGCTGCCATGCATGTTAGCTTTGTTTTTATTCTTCATTAATTTGATCATCAATTTTTATCCTGTGTTCGGTTAGAAAATTGATTTTCTTTATCTGAGTTAATTCACTTGAAAAATAAGCGAGATGAGCTGTTAGATCGCTGAAATAAGATTAGGAGTTTAAATATTGAAATTCTGAATGGAATAAATTGGGTCGAGAGAGTTATTCTTAAAATAAAAGTGTAGTATCTGATCCGATTAATCAACTATGAGTCGGACACCGATGAGGTATTGAGCGATATAGGTCTATGGTCAACACATAATATGAAGAACCAAGGAACCATGAAGCTTCCATTGCACAGAAACTGATCTAACAATTGCTTCAAGTTCCCCCCGGTCCATGAAAATACTCATTTGTGACCCTCCATCGAACCATTATTGTCGCTTCTATTAGTCGAACCCCTCTGAAGGTCTATAATAGCATTAAAATCACCATCCAAAGTCCACGGCTCTTCAACTAGTTAAATGGAATGGTATTTGTTAATCACCAAGTAATGGAGGCTAGGGCATCAAAAAGCCTGAGCAGCATAATATAGCGTTTCTTATGAACTTGAGACTCGTTGGCGACGAAATTTGGATCGATTTTTGGAGACAGACATGATTTTAATTTAGTATTAGTTTTATATAATTATCAGTATCTGATATGTTAATCGATTAATCTAAATCAAATATTATAAAAATTTATTATGAGACGACTTTACCTACCTAAATTTTATCCCATTAAGTCAATTAATTGTTGATAGATATTAATTTAATATTCATTTCATCATAACAAAATTATATTTTTTATGTTATGATCTAAATCATTAATTATTGATAAATTATATACAAAATATGTATTAAATAATTTTTTTTATATCCAAATAAATTAACATTCTTTTTCAATAAATATAGCTTTTAAATATATATTAAAAATCAGTTTTATATTACTAATGCAATTAATAAGTATTGTTACTGATCATACTATTTAATTGAATTTTTTTTATAGATATAGGGGGGGGGGGGGGGAGGTCAAAGCAGGGGCACCGTTATTGTTGGTTTATAAGATCAAACAATTTTCCCCACTATTTGCCGCCTGAAAACAATAGACCCCAAAAAAAAGCCGAAATTGATTCGTTAATGGAAGAAGAGGTGGAATCGGGAAAGAAAATGGATAGAGCTCCATGCTTTGATTAATTTCCATGACCCCTTAATTCAATTCAAACTCAGAAACCCAAAAAAAAAAAAATAGTAGTAGAGAGAGTTTCAATGGGAAAAAATCCGTTCTCATTCATCCGTTCCTCCAGTCGGAAACGGCGTTCGAAACATAAGAAGTCCGCTCAATCGCCAGCGTTGCTGACCATCGGAGCTGTCGCTTCGTCTTCAACTCCGCCTCCGAGCTCGGCTAATTCTAATGGCGGTGTTGTGCGGCTGGCGGCGAAGGCTACCGGAGCAAGGCTATGGATGAGGTTCGACTCAAAGGGGACTTCAGAATTGGTGGAATACGATAAGAGTACGATTATTCAAAAAGCTTCACTTCCTGCTAGAGATTTGAGGATTCTTGGCCCTTTCTTCTCTCAGTCCTCTACCATTATTGGTATGTTTAAGATGTTTGTTTCCAGTTGATTTTAGTATCGATCATTGGAATTGTGGTTAAGTCGATTTTTACGGAAAAGTATCACGTGCGGTAATATAAGGTTAAAAAAAATGTTTTTGGTTTTGATAATATTTTTTTAATAAAATCAATTAAAAATTACCGAAAATATTATTATTTTATCGGTTTTATTATTATTGGGTGTGTACCGGTTTTGTTAACGATTCCGGTAAAACAATACCTAAAACATTATTTTTTCTATCGAATTTATTATTATTAGACATTTTACCAAAAATATTAAAAAGCGTTAATGTTTTAAGTAGAAATAATAATACTTTATATAACTTTTTACCAGTTTTATTAAAGAATAATAATAAAATCAATTACACTTTTTCTTAATAATATATTAAGACTGTCGTACGATAAAACTTATCGATTTTTACATATTGCAAGCTAAGCAAATATATGAATTCGTACAAATATATGAATTCGGGTATTCCTAGAACCGTACGAAAGAGGTCATTTCTGGTTTGAAGCAGGGTCTAAATGAACATAACTTTAACCCGTTCGTTAGTGAATCATTCGTTTATATTTGTTTATTAAGATAAATAAATGAAAATAAACAAAATTTTGATATTCATTTAATAAATGAACTAATATGAATTAAGGTGAATTTATTTAATTTATGTTCAAGAAGTAACTTGTTTATCAACTTGTTTATCAGCTCGATTGTTGGATCATTTATAAGCTCGTTTACTCGGCTTTTATTTTCCTTTTATTTTTTATAGGAATTAAATTAAATATAAGGTGAGTTTGGTGTTCAACTGTGAAGCCTTAGGAATTTAAAGACTAATAGAGTAGTTTCACTATTTTTCTTTGACTCGCAAATAAAAAGATAAAAACGTGTTAGTTGTTGAACATTAAACAAACATGATTAATGTTAAAAGGAATATGTTCACGAACGAACACGAACACTTTCAAAAATAAATAAACAAATATTGACACAATACTGAAAATTTAATCGAACACTAACACTTTTAAAAGTAAATAAACAAATTCGAATACAACTTTCAAGCTCGTTCATTTACACTCATTAAGATTGCTTCTAAAGATGTCATCATCTTGAAACGGAGAATTATTTTTCATAATTTCCGATCTGTTTTGCACCTCGACATGTTTCATGATCTTGATATATAGCATCAAACTATTGTGAATAACTGTATGCTTTTTCTAGTCATCATTATTATTATTATCTTGAACTAGTTAAGAAATTTTTTGAGATTCTTTTTGTAACCTTTTCCTAGCCAGGGAGAAAGCAATGGTTGTCAATTTAGAGTTTGTGAAGGCTATAGTCACAGCTTCTGAAGTTCTTATACTGGATCCTCTCCAACATGAAGTTCTTCAATTTGTGGATAAACTAATACAACAATTTCCTCATAAAAGTGCTTTCAAGACAACAATAGATGCAAGTGAAAGTGAAATCCGTGTTCCGACGCCCGTTCCGGAACCGATGGAGGGCTTTCGGTGCGAGCTTCCATTCGAGTTTCAGGTTCTCGAGATAGCGTTAGAGGTCGTCTGTTCATTTCTGGACCGAAAGGTCACGGACCTCGAAATGGGTTCTTATCCGGTGTTGGACGAATTGGCTCGAAATGTCAGCACCAAGAACCTCGAGCATGTGCGGAGTGTTAAAAGCAACCTCACTCATCTTCTTGCTCGTGTACAAAAGGTATAACTTTTATGCCTGTTGTTGCTTATGTGTTGGATGAACTAGTATATGATTCTTCAAACATTGATCCACATAATAATGCCAGGTGAGGGATGAAATTGAACACCTACTGGATGACAATGAAGATATGGCGCATTTGTATTTGACAAGAAAGCAGGTTCACAATCTGCAATTGGAGTCTCTGTCGAGAGATGAATTTTCAAACACCATCTGTAACCATCCACCCCGTCTACCTCGACTTGGTTCGAATAGGAGTGAGTTTGATCAGCCACTATTTCGACGACAACAACGTCGAGGACTTGGAGATGTTGCTCGAGGCTTATTTCGTGCGGTTGGATCGAATGCGTAACAAGATATTATCGGTGAGTAATTTTGCATCTCGTTTCACCTCATTGACTTGGTTTCCGAGTATCATTTCATTTGTTTCGATTCGCAGGTTCGTGAATATATCGACGATACGGAAGACTATGTCAATATCCAACTCGACAACCAGAGAAATGAACTCATTGAACTTCAATTGACATTGACCATATTTTCATTTGCCCTGAGTATTGAAACTTTGATATCAGGGTGGTTTGGTATGAACATCCCTTGTACATTGTATAAAATGGATGGGATATTCGAAATCTTTGTTGCAGGTATTACCGGGGGCAGTTTGTTGATTTTCTTTATTATCCTTGGATATGCCAGATGGACAAAGCTGATTGGTTCTTAAAGTTTTCGTCATTATCAACCATCACTAATTCAGTGTAGGAAATATATTACTACATATTTATGGAAACCAACCCCCCCCCCCCATAATAATAGGATGCCATTGGTTAGATCTAGGGGTGTAAACGAGCCGAGTCGAGCTCGATTCGAACTCGAAAACTTTAAATGTAGGCTCGACTCGAAAACTCGCGAGTCTAAAATTTTCAAGCTTGACTCGAACTCGAAAGATAATATTGAAACTCGACTCGAACTCGAAAAGGCTCGAACTCAAAAAAAAAATTCAGTAGCTTGATTGAAGCTCGAGACTCTAGCTCGATTGAAGCTCGAGACTCGAGCTCGATTGAAGCTCGAGACTCGAGCTCGATTGAAGCTCGAGACTCGAGCTCGATTCAAGCTCGATTTTGAGCTCGATTCAAGCTCGATTTTGAGCTCGATTCAAGCTCGATTTTGAGCTCGATTCAAGCTCGAACTCGATTCAAGCTCGAACTCGAACTCGAATTTGAACCTACAAAAATCTTATATTACATTTAAAATATATAAATAATTTTCTCTTTAATCAACCATCACCAATACATTTTTTTTATGATAATATAAACTCATTTCAGAAACTTTATAGGATGAATATAAGAGTAGTTATGGTTGTATAACAGGTTCTAAACACATAAGATCAAACATACGCCCACAGCAGGCACCCATTTACAATCCTCCCCAAAGCAAAACAACAACTTTTGCCATAAAAGTAGTGTTTCAAAACTCAAAATACAAAGGTAAATCTTCCATAGAAAACACAAAATCCAGCAACAAAATATTCCAATCTACCTGTTCATGTACCACAAAACTCAAATTCACAAAAAAAAAATAACAGTAACATATCCAAGCTTCCATACATAGCACCTATAAAAAAGAGTAAAAGACAATAAATAATAATAAATTATTCTATAAAAAGCATGAAATCATTACAAATATGAAGTAAAAAATTACAAGATTAACAAATTCAAATATTAAAGGTTCGTTTA